GGGAAAGAGAGATGGTTTTGAGATGTGGTTAAGGGCTAAAAGACACAGGACTCCAGTGGGTATTGAGATGTGTTACATGAGCAAGAGTTGAATGATTCCAGGTCTCTGCCTTAGTGACTGGTAGTTGAACATTGGTCACTAAGGAAAATAGAGAAGGTGAGAGAAGAAACAGTTTAGAATGTGGACATAAGCAAGAAAGCACATCACTCAAGTAGAATGAGTGCTCATGGGTATACAGACAGTGAAGCAGGAAGGTGGCAGAAAGCAGTGTCCATTTTGGGGCGACTCACGTATATGATCACCATCCATACATACTCGACCCAGAGCTTCTGTATATGTTGGCCAGGTCCATGATCACACTTTTATAGCCTGAAAACATGAAATATTACTGCTTGTCGGTTGTCACGGGGAACAGGGAGAAGTGGAAGAAATTGCTTCCTTAAGGAACCTAAAACCTCGAGCTGGGGAGAAAAGACATAGATGTGTCAGATTCAACAACAAAAGGTTGAAGCAGTGGGTCATAACAGCATCGAGAGAGTGTGGAAAGAAATGATTGTCTGTTGTTTGGTTTTTGGTTTTGATGAAAGTGCTGTGTCCAAACTGGTCATTGTGATCAGAGAGGTGTGGGCAGGTGTTTCCGGGTGCAGCCAGCAAGCCAAGTGAATAAGAGGAGGGCACAAGGAGGTCCAGAAGCGTGAGTGGACCAGTATGGGCAGGCAGAGGGTCAGAAAGTGAACTTGGAGATAAAGTTAGAAAAGTATGCTGGAATTGAGGGTTTCTGGGCACAGTCGAGAGGTGATCTTGGAAGATAGCTTTTCTATGGACAAGACAAGGGTGGACAGACTAGTCAGGAGGTTTTTGCACTACCGAGGTGGGCTGGCAATGGCCTGAACTTGAAGATCTGGACAGGGACTGCTTCATCTTATATGCCCAGCACCCTGCTCTGTGCCTAGCATGTGGTCAGCACTCCATCTGTGCTGGGTGAAGAAAAGGTTAGAAGGAAGCTCAGAAGTGAGTAGATCCAGTTACCTATCACAGACACTTATGTCAAAGGAAAGAGTCAGGAGAGGGAACGATGCAGAACACTACGGCAAGACTGTCACCATAAACAGAAACAGGGAGACAGAAGGAAGAGGAATGATTTGGAGGGAAAAGACCAAGTTGGATTTGAAAGTGCTGAGTTTGCTTACATACAGGAGATGGAGAGGGGTGGCTTAGAGGACATGTGTATGCGCCATCAAATGAAGTGATTCACAGGGAGGAGGAGATTTGAAGAAGAGGTGAGAGTACTTGCAGTTGGAGACAGGAAGGTCAGGGACACAACACACATGTTCACCTTGGTTTGGTTGCTGAATTAGGAGTGAGGGGACAGGACTTGAATAAGTTCATATCTGGTGAACAGATTAAGAAGCCAGCTGGTTCGTCCAAGGTTATGTGTGCAATTGAGCAGGGAACTACGAATGAGATCTTCTACTTTCTATGGAATGCTGTGATGGTGACCCCCGGCTGGTGTAACCACACTGGATTCTTTGGAACCCAGGCCCATTAGAAATGGCACCAAAAGTGTGGATCTCTTCTAGGGTACCAAAGGAAAAGGGTCAAAGTGTTCTTTAGTGGACACAGAGACGGGAGGTGAAGTGGGTGCTTACCGAATGTCAAGAACTGTG